GGGGAGGGGAGGGGAGGGGAGGAAAAAGAAAAAGAAAAGATGGGGGAAAAAAGAATCTTTAGCAGCAGTTTTGGGAAATGGAAGCTACATGTTCATTCACTACGGTTAATGACTCAGTAAAAGTGGAAAGAAAAATGTAATGGTTCAAGGCACAAACATAAACAGGAGAGGACAAATCCTGGGTACAATTAGAGGAGGTAGCTTTAGAGGAAACGGGAACATTTCTTCTCTGATTAAATGAAGACGGCAGTGTTGAAATATACAACATGGGAGCTGAAGGAGCTCACTTCTGAAGGTCTCAACTCTCAACAAATTATGAATCAAAGTTTGTGACAAAATAACAATAGTGGAATTCTGAACTTGAGAAGAGTGGAAATCTAAAGTAATAAGCCACCTTTAGAATGACAAAAAGTCAGCCAGGGACAAGGTGAATTTGATACCAACAAAAAGATATGTTGATAACCGTACATATGAAACTAGGCTAATATGCATAAATATATATAGCACTTACCATCTAGGTATAGGCGTAGAAAATCAGGGGACTTCATCTTTCTGGAATTCCCTTGCTATCACTTTGGGGCAGTTTTTGATCTGCTTTTTCCTCCTTAAAAAAAGAAAAGTGACTATGAGCTGGACACGGCGATACATGCCTGTATCCCCAATACTAGGGAGGCTGAAGTAGGAGGATCACTGCAAGTTCAAGGTCAGCTTGGGCTACACAGTAAGTTCAAAGCCAGTCTGGACAACAAAGCAAAATCCTGTCTCAAAAAGACAAATAAATGAGTTCCAGACCAGCCTGGAATACATAGCAACAACCTATCTCAAAAAGAACTGCCAAAAAAGTTTTTTTTTTCTCATTGAATTTATTGGTACATTTCAGGTATACGGTACAGTTACATTCATCATTGGGATGTTGTACCTTTACATGACAGGTCTTGGTTTTCATTTTTTTCCCTTGCCCCTGCCCTCCTTTCTTTTAGTTGAACAAGTTGCCACCTTAAATAAAGTTTATTTCCTATTAATAAAAGTGACATAATCAACTTACAATTTCTCTACACCTTTCACTGGTGATAAATTGTAAGATTTTATAAGTTAAATTTGAATAGAAATAATGATTGACCTTTGTGAAAATGGTATGAATATAATTTTTGAAAAGATGGTAACAATGAAATGTAATCATGCACAAGTACTGTATCCCTAAAATGTACCAATAAATTCAAGTATTTAATAAAAAAAAAAAAAGAAGATGGGACCTATGGTCCAAGAATAGCATAAGGGAAATTATATATATATATTATTTTATAAAATAATTTAAGAAAATGGTAACAATGAAATGTAATCATGCACAAGTACTGTATCCCTAAAATGTACCAATAAATTCAAGTATTTAATAAAAAAAAAAAAAGAAGATGGGACCTATGGTCCAAGAATAGCATAAGGGAAATTATATATATATATTATTTTATAAAATAATTTAAGAAGATAATGAATATAATTTTCATTAACATCAATTTTATCTGTAAACCAAGATTATTTAACTTTCTTTCTTTTTTTTTAATGTGGCTATGGTAGATCCAGGGACAAAAGCAGATAATACTGGTAATATACTTTAAATAATTCAGGCTGGAATAGGAACGGAAATGAAACTAGGAAAGATTAAGGAAGTAAAAGGGCTTAGAAAAGTATAGGGCTTGATTTCATAGGAAAGAATGGAAAGATAAGAAAATATAGCTAAAAGAGAGCATTTTGGAGTTTAAGATTCAAGGTGGCAAAATGCTGGGTTATATTCCATAAAAGTGAGAAAAACAAAAACCTACCTCTGATGTTAATATGCATCTAAAGAGAGTAAAATAGCAAGGAACTGAAATATAAATTGTGACAGGTGTTAAGACCCATTAAGAAAAAAGTAACAGTATTCTAGAGTTTGGTAGAAAATATGGGCAAGGACAAGTGATAAACAATTTCAGATGGGGAGAGGTTATTGAAAGACTTTTTTCTTTGTAAGACAAAAGGCAGTTAAGATATTTTTATTTTCTCATTGAAACTGTCAGTACAAAAAAAGTTCTTTGGAGTCACATTATTCCTTTAATTTTTTCACAGAGAATATTCCATTTACTATGTAGTTCATGGTCTTCTGGACATGTTCTGAGTAACATATGTGTTATCATGGTAGTTTCAATTGGACAAAACTTGCTGCCGGTCAAACTTGAATTTAATTTGTCACATATTTCCAGTGGCAGCCAATGATCAGGAGCTTCAATGTTACAAATATCAATTCTTCCATTCTTTATGTCTAGAAATACTTTGATTTCCAAATATGCTTGCTCATATAACACATGAAAAGTAGTGTTTATGCTAAACTTTGGAGTTCTGCCATATATCCACTCCCAAGTTTGGAGTTCTTTGGCTTTTCTATTTATTCCAGGGAACAGTGTCTCATCTGTTGGGTTTATTAGGTTGATGTGATTATCAATTTGATGATAAGCAGCATACTCTGAAGCAATAGCACTTATCAGTACTTCGCAGGTCAGAGTGGGATCTTTTTCCAGAAGATTTTTTACTGTAGCAGGTATGCTAGTAGTAGCATTGCTCTTGATTCCCTGATACGGGCTCTTCAGCAAAGATGACAAAGAGGTCCTGTTAGTACTACATAACAAGGTGCAATGGTGATAAGCAGCAGTCCTGCCTATCTTAGAAGCTGTTCCTGAAATTTTAAACTGCCCATCAAGTAAAAGATCAAATCTATTTGTAGCCTGCACATCCAGTTGGGGTTTGACAGCATTCAGAGCTCTCACAATTAGTTTCAGGTTTTCCATTCGATCATACTTGGTTTTGGTTGTAAAGAAAGTGAGATTGATATTGCCTGTATCATGGTATACTGTTCCTCCTCCACTCAGCCTCCGAGCCAGTTTTACACCTCCTTCTCTCATCAGAGTCAGGTTACATTCCTGCCAAGGATTCTGATGCCTCCCAATCACAAGAGAAGGAGAATTCCTCCAAAAGAAAAGAACTGGCTTGCCTTCTAGATTCACATGGTCGTGGATCCAGTCTTCTACAGCCAGATTTTGATAAACATCATTGGAAACTGACTGTAAAATGAGCCCACTTTTTACTGTGTTTTTAAAGCCAGCTGCTGGGACTTTGTGGTTACAAAGTAACTGGAAGCAACTCTTCATTGAAAACGGGATCAGCATGCTTTTAAAAATGGAAGGCAACAAATTAATTCAACAAGAAAATGAAATTCTATTTTCTAACTACTGGTTATTTGATCCAGTTAGGCTGCTCTTTTCTTGCCTTTTATCATTAGTCTTTAGAACTCTACAAGAGTGCTCAAAGGAATAAATGAAAATAAACTTCATTAATTTCGGTTGATATGAAATGAGGGCAGATTTTTTTGAAACTATATGTATGCTTCAGACACATTATGTAATGTATCTCAAAGCTAAACAAATTGTTTTTAATTCACAAGTAATATATAATCATTGAGAAAATAACAGATAAGCATAAAGCAAATTAAAGAATCCATAATCCCACCCCTTTAGAGATAACCATAATTAACATTTTGGTATGAATAATCCATTTTATTTCTGTGCATGTGTGTATACCTAGCACACACTTTTCCCTGAAAAGTGTAAGTGTACTGTTATTTCATTCTATCTAATTTTTAAAGATAAGGTTTCACTATTTTGCCCAGGCTGGCCTTGAACTCTTGGCCTCAAGTCATCCTCCTGCTTCAGCCTCCTTGAACAGCGTGGAGTATAGGCAGTGCCATCTCACCCACCTTGTTTAAAATTAAATTCTTACCTCAGCTTTAATGATTGTGTAATAGCTCATTTTTAATATGCCAATTTGCTCAGTCTCTTAGTCTCTATTAGGCTGTTTCTATCTAGTTTTTCTGTTTTATCAACAATGTATTCATGAACATCTCTGTGGAAAAAGATGTCTATGAATTATATCTTTATAATATTTTAAAATAATTAGTATTTAACTTTGGAATATATGACTTATTACTAGCATAACTTTTACATTTTTATTTTTTTGGGGGGTACCAGGGATTGAACTCAGGACCTTGCACTTGTGAGGCAGGCAGCAGAACCACTGAACTAAATCCCCAGCCAGTCAGTATTACTTTTATTTAGGTCAATATTAGATTAGGATGAACTCCCTAAGGTCAGAGGGAGAGAAGATCAGAATATGTAGGTTTATATGGAAAGGCTATGAATAATTTCATTGTTTAGACAGCTTTACAAAGTACATACCAGCAGTGTTTGTTAGTGAAATTTGGGAGGCAAAGGGTTGAAAATACTATCCATGAAAATGAAGTACTTTGACTACTTGTGGTTTTTAAATCATTCTATTTCAATTTTATTTCTTAGCATGCTTACAGTTTTCCTTTAGGATAAAGAACTAGGAATAGAGTAGATTGTTTCTTGTTTGTAGTTCTATTTTGTTTTTTGAGACAAAGTCTCACTATATACTTCAGGCTGGCCTTAAACTCATTATGCACTTACTCCAGGCTGGCTTTGAATTCTTAGCAATCCCCCTGCCTCAGCCTCTGGACTGCTGGGATTACAGATATGCACCACCATGCCTGGCTGAGAGTGGATTCTAAATCTTTTTTGCAGTTCTGGAGATTGAACCCATGGTCTTTGCACTGAACTACCCAGACCTTTTTTGTTTCTTTCTTTCTCCCCCCACCCCACCTTTTAAGACAGGGTCTTGCTCAGGCTGGCCTCAAAACTTTTGTTCCTCTTATCTCAGCCTCCCCAAATGCTGGGATTATAAGCATGTATCATCATGTCCAGCTCAAGTGAATTATCAAAGTCCATTACTAGGCCAAACTATTTAGTTCAGTAATGTCCTAGAAGTGTAATTCCTAGGTTAAAAAGTCTTCAGACTTTTATCACTCTTGACAGTTTATAAACTATGTTAAAGAAAAGTTGAGCCAGTTTACATTCCCTCTGTTTAAGGAAGATCTGGAGAAGTTTAATAGAGGCAGTCACTTGAACTTCATCTTGAAATTCGATGGTTTTCCATGTCGTTTGGATAGCATACTGATGGCACATGCAAAAGCAGACAGTGGTCTAATAGTAATGAACATTTTAGAGACTCCTTCCTAAGGGTCACAGTTACACTGCCAGTGCCTTAGCTCCCCTGAGGCCTCTGCATCTATTTTCCTAGGAACTCTCTACACTCAGGTTGATCACTCAGGTTGGTTAATCTCTTTGCTCTTAGATCTGTTTGTCTGAGTTCCATAAAGTTCTGTATTCATTTGACAAATATTTATGGAGCATCTACTAGGCACAAGGTAGTATGGGGACAGAGAAGAGAGAAAACAAAGTCATGTACAGTAATACCTCAGTTCACAAAAGCCAATGTTGGCAAACAATTTAGTTTGTGAACAAAGATGTTCCGCAAAATTTTGCTTCCTTTCATGAACTCCACATCAGGTGAGGGACACGATCAACACTATCTTTCCCAGAATCATGGAATGAGTTAAGCCATGAACTGAGGAACCAAGGTAATCTTAAAACATTTGGATTCTGTACTACAGACCTCTTATCTATAATATATGCATAATAACAGGGTTCATCTCATAGCATCAGGATTAAATGAGCTAATATAGATAAAGTGCTTACAGGAGTTCTGGGCATACAGAAAGTACACAATATGTGTTCTGTTAATATCATTCACTGATCTCTGGCCTGGCTAATAGGCAGAAAGAGATGGTAATTCAGAAGACAAATATCATAGGAAGAGGTGATATAGATGAAGATATATGGTTCATTTTGACTGTACTGAACTTCAGTCTATGGTTATCCAGCAGCCAATGGGACAGAGATGAATAAATGGTGTCCAAGGCCATGGGAGGGGACTGGACAGTTCAGAAGATACTGTGAGAGACATAGAGCCTCCAACAAAACCCTGGGAAGGAAGGATAACCCCAACTGGTAACAGAATGAAGACATTTAAAACATACAGTGTTATGGAATCTTCAAGGAGATACCCAGGAAAAAAAATCCAGAGTGATGATACATGGCTGTAATCCCAACACTTGGGAGGGTGAAGTGGGAGGATCACAAGTTCAACACCAGCTTTAGTTACACAGAAAGAACCTATCACACACACACACACACACACACACACACACACACACTCACAACAGCCTTCAATTTTAATCCTGGCTTTGCCAGTTACAGTTAATTGAATAATCTTAAGTAAGTAGTTTAATCTCTACTTGCTTCTTAGCTACACAGAAAACCAATAACACACACACACACACACACACACACACACACACACACACACACTCACAACAGCCTTCAATTTTAATCCTGGCTTTGCCAGTTACAGTTAATTGAATAATCTTAAGTAAGTAGTTTAATCTCTACTTGCTTCTTTTGCCTCAGACTCCATGGAATGATTAAATTAAATGTGTTATGAATAAACCACTCATGTCTGGTCAATGTGAAACATGTCAAAATGTTAGATGTTATTACAAGGCTCCTCCCTTTGCATCTCTATTTTCCTGTTCATACTGTTTCAGTCATATAACATGTATTCTGTCATGTGTACAAAGATTCCTAACCAATATACACCAAAATGGCATTTTTTTCTTGATAAATTAGCTATAGTCCACAATATACTGTCCAAAACAAACATCATGCTAAGGTTCCAGAATTGAGCCAATTCATGAATTGATCTAATTCACATATTTTAATAGTGCTCGAAACATCTCTGTACACCCAGCTACTTTGGATAGTGTTAATGAAACATAATAAAGGTATTAATTTGACAAATTCTACATTTACTACCTGACTGCATTGTTTTTGTCAATTGAAATTCATCAGTAAGCCAAATAAATAAAAGTGAAAAGAAAAAAGAAAGAGTAGGGCTTGGAAAGAGGATTTGAATCAAGTATCGGAGTCAATCTTCAGTATTGTTGTTAGGTGAGGCCTCATCCAAATGGTGACATGTGAACAAAGATAGAGTTAGGCTGAAAGCCTACTATGTGTCAAAAACCATCCTAGGTATTTTAACTCATAAAACCATAAATAAGCCTTGGGGAGGATGTAACATTTCAAATGAGCCCTAGAGGATGAGAAAGAGTAATACAGAGATGAAGTGGAAACAAAGACACATCCAAAGATCCTGAACACCAACTATCTGTACTGATTTAAAGAATGGGCTATCATACTGGTAAGTGTCCATTCTCTTTCTCATAAGCCAATTTATCATCAATTTGGTGAATATATAATCAGAACAAAATGATTGAGTTATACAGTTTCAGTGTCTGATGGTTTGGGCCTTGAGGAAGTCACAACTCCTGGGCAGAGGAGAAATCCTATATTTAAGCCAGGACATTCAGGACATTTGTATTCCATCTGGGACAAGTATGCCTCCCTTGTTTTATATTATTGTTGAAGACAGATCCCTGAATGAATGATACACTCTTTACTTGTCAGGATATAGTTAGGCCTTTCAAAGAATAGTAAAATTTTGTTTCTTTAATCAACATTCTCACTTTTTATTTGCCAGTTTTACAGCAAACAAATACAGAAAAAAAGGTCAACATCACTAATCATTTGAGAGATGCAAACAAAAGAAAACTGAGATTCCATCTCACTCCAGAAAAGATGGTTATTATCAAGAAAACAAACAATAACAAGTGGTAGTGATGCTGTGAAGAAAAAGAAACCCTCCTCCACTGTTGGGGGGAGTGTAGACTGGTATGACTGCTGTGGAAATCAACATGGTGATTCCTCAAAAACCTAGAACTAGAGGTTCCATTTGACCCAGTTATCCCCCTTCTTGGAATCCTCCCAAAACAACTGAAAGCATCATGCCACAGTGATATATGCACACCCATGTTTAAACCAGCAGTTTGTAATAGCTAAATCTTGGAAACAGCCCAAATGTCCATCAATGGATGAATGGATAAAGATGATGTGGTGTTTTATACAATGGAGTACTACTCTGCCATACAGAAGATTAAACTTGAGACATTACTAGGTAAATGGATGCACCCTGAGACCATACTATTGAGTGAAATAAATCAGACATACATGTGTAAATATAGCATGGTTTCTCTAGTATGAGAAACTGAAAAGGTAAATAAGATCCAAAATATGTAACAGACACTGGGAAATAGGAAGAAAATGTTCAAATCGGAAAGGGAACATGGGAGGAGGAAAGGAAAGAAGGGAAAAGAAAAAAGGAGAATAAAAGAAAAAAACAGAAACAAAGCTTTTGTAAATAAAGAGGGGAAGAGGGGTTGAAGGGAGGGGAGAGAGGGAAAAAAGAATTGAGATATATTATTACAAATACAAATTCCCTATCACGAATGTGATCATTAAGTATACTTAAAATGTACCAATACAATTTTTAAATTCATTAATTTTATCAGTACATTGTAGGTATACAATGTGTTGACATTCGTTATTGGGAATGTGTATTTTTACATACTACATCTTGATTCTTATTTTTTCCCCCATTCCCTTGCCCTACCTTCAACCCTTCCACCCCTATTTACAAAGACTTTGTTTCCAGTTTTTTCCTTTTCTCATATGTATTCCTTTCCCCTCCCTTTTCCCCTTTGGACATTTTATTCCTATTTTACATTATCTATTACACATTTTGATTATTACACTTTCAGCTTCTCACACCAGAGTAATTATTTCGTAACAATAAAATTTTAAAAATCATTAATAGTTTTAGTTTTTCCTCAGAGGATATTCTTATCTCCACATTCTTGGGGACACTTTTCACTGCCCAACAGGGCATTCCATCACCAAAACAATCCCCATCCCATCATCTCCTCTCCCCGCGCCCCGTGTCTGGGATCGAACTCAGGACCTTGCACTTGCGGGGTAGAAATGGCACCACTGAACTAAATCCCCGGCCCTCCATCATCATTATAGGCAGGCCTAGCTTTTTTATTTTTATTTTTTTGGCCTGTACTCGGAATCGAACCCTCAGGCGCTCTGCCACAAAGCCCCACACCTTTTTGAGACAGGGTCTCAGTTTTGCCCAGGCGGCCCTCGAACCTGGGATTCTCCTGCCTCGGCCTCCAGAATAATTGAATTTACAGGTGTGCCTGGCTCCTGCTTCTTCATAAAATCTTATTAAGACTATTTTGTCACCTCGCTTACAATATTCTGAATCTCATCATGGCCCTGTGCGTGTACTGACCCCCATTTTTTGCTGTGGGCGTGCACACAGCGAGCATCCAACGTGTTTTACGTTGTTCACCCTCGGTCAGGGGTTCCAGATCTGCCTTTCCTAACAGCAACAACATCGCGTCTCAGGGGCCAAGGGTAAAGTGCAAAACCTTCATCTTTTATCCAGGGGGCTGGAGATGGCCCGTAAGTGGTACCTGGCCCGCAAGGGGTACCGGCCCAAAGGTCCTCGGTCCCAAACCACCGCCCAATCGCGCATCACGACGTCAGCCACACACCTCACCCCGCAGCGTCCCCGGGAGATCTGCTTCCGGTTTTACCCACCGTCACTTCCGGCCGTGCCAGGCCTCTCTCGGACTAGGATTGCGGAAGATCTCTGGGACAATAGGCATCTGCAAGCAGCACACGCAAACTAACCGCGCCCTCTATGCCCCGCCCACGAGTGGGACGGCGAAGGGGGCAGCCCTCCCGAGGCCCCGCCCCTCGGGTCCGCCCCCCAGGGTCCTTGAGGCGGGCCTCTCTGGGAGCTTGCCTGGCTCCCTAGTTGCTAGCGAAGTGGCTTGTCCTCGGGTTTCTTAGAGTCCTTCAGGGCACAAAACCATATTCGAGGCAGGGACGCAGGCCACGTAGGAATAAGAAAATAAAGTCCCAATTCAGATGGCGTTCTTCGCTTGACAGCAGATAACGTCGCCCAGGGGCCAAGGTAGGAGAGGTGGCTAAACCAGGGACAGGGCACTTTTCGTGGAGTGAGTTTCTGGGTTGAGTCCCGGAAACCCCGAGTAGCGAGGCCAGCAGGGCCTCTTCACTGAACATGGGGTCACTGCGCTGGGTCTTCATGTAGCACCTCCTCACAGTCCTGCCTTTCCTCCTCGAAAGATGAGGAAACTCAGATAAGTATTGAACGGCAGACTGCGTGTAAAGGCGTAACAAATACTGAAAACAGAGTTATGGGGCAGTAATAAGATTGGGTACAGCGATGGTAATAAGTTGGAATCAGTGGATCAGAAGACAGACACGCTGAGGGTGGCAAGCACACCTAGGTGTGTCTCAGCATAGCTGAGAACATCCCTATGGCTCAACCAGATGGGAACCACCCCAGCAGGTGAGGTTCAAAGGTGACAGCTTCAGCTATGGATTGCAGTCTAACAAGCCGTGGAGCAACCGTTTATTATCTTTGAAGAATGATGTGTGCAAGCCGCATGGTTCTGCTGCTGCTTTCACTTGGGCTAATTCGTGTGGCTTCGTTAGCAAGAGTTGATGAGCTGTGAGGTTCAAGGTGGCCCTTGAGTCCCATCTGGCAGTTGGTGCTGGCTGGCTGCTGGGCCAGCTCAGGTCAGCCCTAACCTTGGGGATAGCACTTTAGCCACATGCAACATGAAAAGAAGAGTTAGAGGTGGGGTAGTAGACCCCGCCTCTTGAAAAGATGGGCCCAACGAATCTGTGGCCCTCTTTCAATTTCCCGCAGAACCTAATCTGTTTCAGTTAGAATGGAGACCACCAGGACTTACCTCTTGTAGTAAGAAGCCTCCAGCGTTTATAGTTTGGTGATGCTGATACCATAAATAACCAGGGTTTTGTATAAATTATGAAAGACACCGTGACTCATTTATTATACTTGTGACCCAGCTCACTCTGAGTCTCTTTCTTGTATTATTTGGATAGAATGGATTTTGCTCAGAGTTAATCACAGTAAGAATTTTTCCTAGTTACTAAAATGGCCCTAAAATATTGTTTTTCCTTATATCCTTCTAGTTTCTTTGAAATCTGAGGTGGTACTGTTTTATTTTTTTCTAATTTCTTCCTGAGGGGGTTTCAGAGAATCTCATTCTCTATTCCTTGCTCTAAGATTTTTGTCCCTTTGTTATTGTTGCCCCCACCCCCACTTCTTCAGCTTTTCCACTGGCACCTTTCCAATGACACTCCTGCTTCACAACCTTCCAGGAAATTGCTCCTTTCAGCTTTCATCCTGTCTACTCCTCTTCAAAGCAAAGCATCCAGTAAACTGCCACACATGCAGTATCTATTTCCTTCTTCACAATCAACCTACTCCACGATGCTTTTTGCCTCATTATTCCAGCAAAAGTGCTTCTGCTAATATCACTGGTGGCATTCACATTGCTATACCCAATGAACTTTTCAGTCCTCATCAATCCATTCTCTTGACTCTCTCTGCCTGCAAAGACTCCTACGGGTAAGCTTCATGTTCACATCTTAACTTTCCTCCATTCTCAGATGCCTTTGATAGCTGTCCCTACTCTGATCAGCCCCTGTTGGAATTCATCAGATCTTTAGCTATCAATATATAGTCCCTTAAGCAATCTCACTTATTCCTAAGGATTTAAATACCATTTTTATCCATTATTAGAATTTCTATTTTTAGTTACAAACCTTGAAAACCTGGTATGTCCAAAACTATGTTTCTGAGCTCACTCAATGGCCCAAGAAACCACCAAGTACCTGGCTTTTGTTTTTCTAAACCAAAAAACCCCCATCCCTCCCCTTGAATGGCCATCATCATCATCATCATCATCCACTTGGACAACCATGTGATGCAGTTACAAATGCCACCTCCTCAGAGAAACCTTTCTTGTTCCCAGGATTAAAATCAAGGTTATGTGTTATGCCTCTTGTTTTATCTCTTTGAAGGCTTTGCTTTTTCTTCATAACACCTTACAGTTTAGATCCTATATTATCACTGTATAGCACCCTGTCTTCCCTCATAGACAGACAGAATGCCTGTCAAGGCAGTGGCTCTTTTATTCACTGCTATATCTCCGGTACCAGCCCAGTGCCAGGCTAAGTGAACAATGAATAATATATGTATTTTTTTTCTTTCCCAAAGAAATATAGTCTGTAAATGACAAAAAGCATGGCCTCATTTAAAAATTTCATTTTTTATTCTAATATTAATATTCCCTATAAATGTATTTGTGTAGTTTTTGTCTGATTTATAGACCACTGTTTCTCCTAAAGATGCCTTTTCCTCTTTTTTAATGCTTATTAGGGTGATTATGCAATTGGGTATTAGAGGAGTGATTACGTATTAAAATTGATGAATATGTTCAAAACATACATAATATAGGTATAGCTCAGTGGTATAGCAAGTGTTTATCATGCGTGAGGCCCTAGTTCAATCTCTAGCACCAAAAAAGAAACAACCAACCATATACAATATAAGTAGTTACAGGTCACTTCCTAAAAAAGGTTAATTTCATCTAACATTACATTAGTTGATACTGCTGTTTCAAAGAACCAGATAGTTTAATAGCTGATATAAAACAGGTGTGTTTAAAAACAAATCAAAACATGGCTATCATGGCTTTCCTCATGATAACCCATCCTGCTTTCTCCAGTATGTTCTTTTGTCTTGTTTTTTCCTCTTTTAATCAGCCTAAACTTGCTCTGCAGAGCATTTCTCTTTCACTCTTCACTTTTAGTTTTTCAAATGAACTTTGCCACTGCTTAAAAAAAACACTGGGTTACTTTTGGTATTGGTAGTATAAAATGATAGCTTGTGCAAGATAAATCTTTTTCTTTTTTCTTTTGGTATTAGGGATTGAACTCAGGACCTTGTGCTTGCAAGGCAGGTGATGGTACCACTGAGCTAAATCCCTGGCTCAAGTATTTTCTGAAATAGATTCAGTATGGGCAGAAATGTTTTAAAAGAAAGGTTTAAGATGTGAAATGCTTCTGAAGATATGCAGCTCACTGGTCTTTTGCCGAGTTTATCTGTGGCAATCTTTCACAGAACAGAAATGAAAAATGTAAGACAGTAAAGTATCCTAAAGCAAAATCCAAAACTGGAAATGCAACATACATAAGTGGTACACCAGAAATAGTCTGAAATACTGATGACAAATTGCTGGGATGCTTCTTCTTTTTTTTTTTTGGTTATTTGAGACAGGGTCTCACTATGTAGTTGAGACTGACCTAGAACTCACTGTGTAGCTGAGGTTGGTCTCAAACTCACAGCAATCCTCCTGCCTCAGCCTCCCAAGTGCTGGGATTACAGGAGTGGGCCACCACACCCGGCTTGGGATGCTTCATTTTTAAACCACTCATTAAAGAAAGTCTTTATAATTACAGTAAAAATGTTTTGGTGTCATTCAAATACTGTCACTAAAACTCTGGTTTTTAATCAAGGTTAGAATATATGCCATAGAAATCTGCTTTGAATTTTGAAAGGCTTTTTCTCCCTAGTCTGACTGCCTTTTCCATATGCACCATTAAAAGATACAGTTTAGGGCCAGGGCTTTAGTTCAGTGGCACAGCGCCTGGCTTGCAAGTACAAAGTCGTGAGTTCAACCCCCAGTACCAAAAACAAAACAAACCAACAAAACAAACAAAAAAGATATAGTTTAAGATGATTCATAATACTGAAAAATAAAACATATCTTCCTTCATTTCATTTGATCCTAATGCAGACTAGGTCTGAATATATACCTCTTAATTGAAAGCAATTTTGGTTTCTTTGGAAATGTGTATGTTACTTCATTCCACATCTGTCATTTCTATTCCATCACTTTCTTTAACATACACCACTGAACTCAGAGCTTTTTCTGAAACAGAGCCAGTGCCAGTCTCTTCAATTTTTGTAAAGTTCTCTTGGTTTCTGTCTTCTAATCTTATTTTCTTGGTGTTTTGAAATAACCAAGTGACTGGTTCCAAATTGCTTTTCTCAGTCCCTTGCATTAAGTGATCTTCCACTTTTGAATTCATTCTCATAGCAGATACCTGAGTAGCAGATTTACTAAGCGAAAATCCCATTGGGTAGTTTGACGATAACCTTTTTAAGTAGAAGAAACGTTTCTCCAATTTGATTACTGAAAAACAAAAATAAGAGTCACAAATGAACACAATAGGAATTTCAACAACTGCATGGCAACATTTGTTTGAAATGTCATGGTGATGCTGAAACTATAAAGTAAAAGTACCCTTTATCATTCACTGCTTACATTTTCTTTGTGGGAAGGTTTGAAAAGTATATCAATTCCCTTGAAAGTCTTTTTAAAAAGTAATTTGCCTAATTTACTATTTATCACCATCCAGCAAATAACAGAAGTTCTCTTAGTCTTTTCTGTCATTTTTACTAGCAAAAATTATTAATTCATTATTAATGGTTTAAATAATTACCAAAGGCCAAGAACTCTGCTACTGTAGGTGTTCTGTAAAAAAGAAAAGTCCAATAAAAATATGGAACTTGTCATTAAGAATCCTAACCTGGAGTGAGATCTTGGAGAGGTTTCCAAAGGAGATCAGGGGCTATGACAGAAAAGAGCCTTCCTGGCACAACAAAGACCTGAGAAAGTCTGCTGATTACTGGAGGACCAAGATCTACCCAAGAATGATGAGCAAGCAGCCACCTGAGATCTGGAGTCAACTCCACACCTGGGAATGAAAGCACCAGCCCAGGTTCTAGAATATGTAATTCTTCGATATTTAGCTACTGTGTTTTCCTTTGATAAATTACAATTCCATACCCATAATCTAATCCTTATACTGCAAATTTCTTTTTAAAAAAATTTTAGCATGATTGTAGTATATAATATTTACATTCCTTATGGAGAGTTGGTATATGTACGTAACATATCTCAATTCCCTTTTTCATCTTCTTTCCCTCCCCTTCGCCTCTTCTCTCTCCACCTCATGATCCTCTTCTCCTTTGAGAAAGATCTATCTGCTTATATCCTATTACCTCCCTATTTCTATTTTGCTCTTTATTAATACTTTGGTTAACATTATGGCATCAACATCCTTCCATTTTCCTACAAATGACTCAAGTTTCTTTCTTTACAGCAGGGTAGTACTCCCTGGTGTGTAAGCACTACATTTTCTTTTTCCATTCATCTGTTGATGGACATATAGACTACTTCCAAGACTTAGCTACTATGAACTGTGCAGCTATAAACATGGGTATGTATGTATCACTATAATATAATGCCTTTAACTCTTTCAGGAAGATAACCTAAAAGGAGAAGAGCTGAGTCAAATGGAATTTCCAGATTCAATTTTTTGAAAAAGTATTACAAATTTCTAAGAAAATGCCTTGAAACTCTATGTTATGATTGACTATCAGTGTTTAATTTGTAACAGAACAGAGTCCTTGGTCCAATATAGTATCCTTCTTATAGTGGGAACTCAGATGTTGTGACTGTAACAGTTAGATAAATAGTACAGCTTTGGTTTTCTGGGAATCAAATACAACAGATAATATTGGGTCAACAAAAAATGCCATGGATGTTGTAATTGTATTGTGGTTATATGAATGAATGTCTTTCTTTAGGAAATACATGCTGAAGTAGAGTCAAAGGATCACATCTGCAACTTGCTCTCAAACTGTTTAGGAATGCATAGGTTGACAGATAAATACATGGAGAAAGTAAAATATAAAAAATATTAACTATTGAATCTAGGAGATAAAAGCTAAAACATGTCTAAAGGTATTTTCCTTGTTGCAATTCTATAGATTTAAAACTTTTCAAAGTGCAAAATTGGAAAATACTAATAAAACCCTAACAAAACAACCTACCACAGTTGAAACCAACAAATTTAAAATAACAGTAACTTATGTTAATTACCAGGTTGCACATTAAGTCCTCCACTCTAATGGACTGCAGAAGGAAAATAAGGTAGATTTATCCCTGAGCCTCTCCTTATCTTCCCCAGAAACTTGAGGACATAAAGGAGAAACCAGTCTTGTGGGACTGCCTTGACCTACATTTGGGTTACTATTCAAAAAGAAATCTTGAATGTATATGGAAGAATAAAATTCCACTAGGAGCTAAATCAATTTGGCCAAGAAGAACAAAGAGGTTTGCCTTACTAGATACTAAGATGTGGCACAAAGTAAGAAAGCAATCTCATTGAGGTGCAGGAACAAATAAGTGACCAAAAAGAACACAAAAGAACTTCAATTTGGACCTGGTTATATTTGGGCACTATAAGGCAAAGGAGATAAATGTACTATGTTTAACATGTTAGTATTGTGAGCATTGGCTTACTATGGGATAATGCAGGGTTCCTGTGAGAGAATCCTTATCACAAAAGGACTTTATAAAGCAGAATTCTTATCTTATATATGAAAGTGGAGTCCAAAGGCAGAAAATACCTAACTGTGAATGTTAATAACTAACTGTGAATGTTATAACTATAAAAGCAATAGACAAATATGTAGGACAATGTATTTATCACCATGGGTCTTCTTGAACAAGACTTTAAAAGCTTAAACATTAAAGAGAAAACAGATTACTTATAATTAGAATTTCTATTCACTGAAAAAGTACAAATAAAAGGATAGATGCAAAATTGGAAGGAGGCATTTTCTCTCCAAAAATGACAGGGGAATTAATGACTAGAATTAAAAAGAAGTCCTTGAAATCGATAAGGAAAAAGAAACCTCAAGAGAAGATGGGCACAGGATAAAAACAAAACCCAAGATAATGTGGGCAAAGAATATAAAGACAATTCAAAGACTCTGGAATTCCAAATGGGTTATGAATGCATGAAGAAATATTCAAACCTAGTTGGTATCAGAAATCCAGCTTTAATACCATCAGAGTGGTAGATTTTAGAAAAGTAGACAATATTTAGTATTAGAAAGAATATAGGATGATAGGAAACCCTGCTGATGGGAGTAATTCTTAACTCTGCTTGTATATTCCATGGCCCATCTGTTAGTGAACCCTGTTTCTACTTCCACCTTTGTAACTGTTATGGTTTTGGGGGCAAAGGCTCATATATTAAAGGCATGGTCTCTAATACAGTAATGTTCAGAGGTGGGGCTTTGGAAGGTGACTGGATCATAGGAGCTCTAACTTTATCAATGGAGTAATCCATTGATGGATTTGTAATTGTATGGCATTACTGGGAGACGATGAAAACAGGAGGTAGGAGCTAGCTGAAGAGAATGGGTCATGTGGATATACTCTGGAACTATATCTTGTCCCCAGTCCCTTTCTCTCTGGCTCTATTTCATGAGTTCCTGCCTATCATGAGGTAAGTGGCTTTGATCTACCTTGCATTTGGCCATGATATTGGGCATCATGTCAGGATGGAAGCAATGGGGCCAAACTACCATGGACTGAAAACTCTAAAGCCACAGCCATTTAAAATAAACCTCTTTTTTCTTTTAAGTTGTTTCAGTCAGGTATTTTGTCACAACAGTGAAATGCTGCCTAACATACATAATACTTCCCCATGGAAGTATTCAAACAGATACTTCAAACAGTATCTGATAGGTGCCCTTTTAAATAGTAAGGCAGATCACATCAGCCCTCAATGCATGTTAGTTGCTTCCCATCTCACAGCAAAAGCCAAATTATATATCTGGTCCCCAGATATGCTAGGCAGAAGAATGGCTACCAAAGCCCAGCTAGCGTTGAGGTGGGAAAATTATGCTGGATTAATTGAAGGGTACCAATCAAATCACAGGGGACTTCTCAAGTGAAAGAGAAAGGGAAGAATGTCACTGTTAAGAGTGAAACATGTGAGAAAAATATGCTGACTACTGTTGGCTTTAAAGATCAATGGGGATGGGCCACAAGCCAAGGAATTTGGACAGCCTGTAGAAATTAGAAAGGAAAGAAAATAGATTCTTCTCCACAGTCTCAAACAGAACAGCAGCCCTGCTGACATATTTATTGGGCTAGAGCACAGTGAGATCCGTTTTGAATGTCTAACCTTCGGAACTGTGTAATAATAAATTTGTGTTGTCTCTGGGAAATTGTTATAGTAGCAACAGGAAACTCATACAGCAGCTAATAACCTTTTCTCTTTCTCTCTGATTCTATGGCAGCCCTGTGAGTTCACTGATGTTCCTCAAGCATATGTTATGCCAAACTCTCATCTGCTTCAGGGCTTTTGCACTTGTAGTTCCTTCAGCCTGAAATGATTTTTGAATTGCAAACCACTCCCTTTGGGAATAAGTAGTGACAAGGAGCCTCAAACTATGAGGAGCTGGCAGATCTCTGCTTCCTGCTATAGTGGAATAACAGGAACCAGACTGATCATCAAGCTTTTACCATTTATAAAAATCAACAACACATGAAGCAATGGTTTTTAGATTTAGGACAATGGGCAGTATAGGAGAGTAACTCTGAGAGAAAGGGAATAAAACAAGGGAACCTCACAGAAGGGCTCATTACCTGGAAATTTTCAGGCTTCCACATGAGAAGAGGGCCCAAAGGGGAGTATGGTCATTTTAATGAATGGAGAAGATAGTTGGGGCGGCCAAGTGGCTAGAATCTGTGGAGAGAGGAGAGAAGCACAGAGTGAAAAAGCACTCCAGAGATCTTCAGAGGATTCCCCTCAACTCTTCAGCTGAGTACTGACAAGGGAAGGTTAAGAAGAAAACTTCTGAGGCCTGAGAGATAACCACCAAAAAGAAGAAGGCAGAATAACTGCTGGACCTCACATAGGCCAAGAACAGTTTATGTTCCCATGAAAGATATCCCATATGTGGGGCACTGGGTAGTGTCTATAAGAAAGGTATTAGCTCAGTAATAAAGCCAAGATTGCCCTACTCTAAAGATTACACTGGACTTAGCAAATTTTAAATTAGTGTGTAGCTGGGTGAGGCAGTGAATCCTGTAACTCCAGAACCCTGGGAGACTGAGGCAGGAGGATTACAAATTTGAGTCCAATCTGGGCAATTTAGCAATTTAGAGTATGTCTCAATCAATCAATCAATCAATCAGTCAATCAGTGGGCTGGGGAATGTATACAGCTCAATGCAAAGGCCCTGGGTTCAATTCCTAGTATCAAAACAACAACAGCAAAACTTGGCCACTAAGTAGCATTGTCCAATATGGTAGAACTTACTGTGGTGACGGAAACAGGTACAGTATTCTATATATACATCATCCTATAGGGTAGACATTGGTATGTAGCTTTTGGAATGTGAAATGTGGATAGTGCAAATAAACTGAAATTTAATTTTATTAACATAAATTTAATCATATATTACTAAAGGCTACTATTTTGGATGGTACGTATCTAAAGGGTCAAACTGTTCCTAAGTACCTTAACCATATCTCAGAAGAAAGCCAAACATATTTAAACTCTCTCTTTTTCTCTCCCCTATATCCAAGTGTGTGAAATCTGCAACATCTGGTAGTCAATCAAAGCTTAGCAGGCATGAAAACACACAGAAAAGTATAACAATCAGGAGGAACAAAAGTCAGATGTCAGAGTTAGTATATGAGTACCTTTTAACAGTATTTTATATATATTCCATGTCTGGAAGATGGTAAGATAAATCACAAACATGATATAGTATGAAATGGAAGATTTCTTTTAAGACATCAGATTTCCATAGATGAAAAATAAAAATTTGACATGAAAGATATGGGTGGGACTAACACTGCCAATAGAAAGAACTGGAAGTTAAGCTGGGCGTAGTGGCCCACGCCTGTAATCCCAGCACTCAGGGAGGCTGAGGCAGGAGGATCGCTGTGAGTTTGAGACCAGCCCGGGCTACATAGTGAGTTCCAGATCAGTCTCAACTACATAGTGAGACCCTGTTTCAATAAAAAAAAAAAAAAAGAAAGAACTGGAAGCTATAGCATTGAAAGCTTGGGAGGTAACTTAGTTGTAGGGTGCTCACCTAGCATATATAAGCCAGGGTCACATTCTCAGCACTGTACAAAATCTATATATAGATACATGTCATATAGAGAAATAGAAATATGTAGATATATTCATATAATGTAGAGATACAGCTACATATAAACATTTATACAGATAAATCAATACATAGATATAATCACATAGATGGGTAGATATAAATACATGATGATATCTGTATATAGAGCAATGGGAATTATCCAATCCAAAAAAATGCACAGAGCCTCAGTGAGCTATGGGAAAATACCATGTAGTTAAACATATGTATATTAGAAATGTCTGATTTTTTTTTTTTGGAGGGGATTGGGATGGGCACAGAAAAAAAGGTAAAACAGGTTTTGCTACTGAAGCCTTTGAAATGATGGAGAAACTAAAGGACTAGAAAACCTCGTCCTGAGAACTACACATAAGGTACATACCACAGGAGAGGCAAGTTAATATACAAGGCTTAACTGGGGCAGGGTGGGGCATTCACCACTCATTGGGTTTAAAGAGAGGGAAGGACATTTTCACTTTCTTGGGTTAGGGGAGTAAACCATTGGTCCTTGATAGGAAAATTCTTATGCACTTCTTTGGCCTTAAAAAAATTTTTTTTTCCCTACCTTCTTTCCAAAGAATCTTCAGTAACATCTAGGTGGCATAGGTAAATGCTTAAAACTTTTCATATTCGTTCCCATTTCATGTATTAGTAATCCCCCTCCTCCTCCTTAAGTCTTCAACTCCAACTGAGAGTTTTGTTTGTTTTGGTTTTAGTGCTGGGCAGTGAACCCTGGGCATCCTGCAGCTAGCACCTTGCTCCACAACTGGGTCACACCCTAGCCCAACTAACAGTTTTAAAGTTAGTACATTCTTTTTGTTTCAGTCATGCTAGATGAGGCTCTTCAAAATAATCTTAGTGTCCGACAAGAATAACAGATTATACATTATTCTAATTTTTCAGGGTGGTCTTTTCAAAACTCATGCTTTTTTGTTACTTATTTTATCAATTAGGTAAATGTATCAAAGGAAACGTGCTGTTCCCTGGATCTTTTCATCACTTTAAAATAATCTAGTTATATCTAGAAATTATATACTATTGAAAATAGAAGTTATTTATCCCTGCCAATATTACTTTGTGGAAAAAGTGAGTACTCACCAGAGAAAAAAAGGAATTGTTAGTCTCCTCAAATGTGAACTTACTTTTGAACTGCACAATTTTACATGACATCAAGATCATCAGAGGGCCGCTGTAAAAACCCACCTAATGTCATCTGTAGGAAAAAAAACAGGTAAGGTCACCATTGTAGTTCAGAAGATCTTGTGTAAAGAAGGGTTTGACTGGTTAAATATTTAGAAACATTAAGATATTTCTTTTCAAGCTAGGCTCCAAAATATTGGCAGAATAGCGCAGGGCTTATTCTTTTTCTTAAAATCTCACTTCTCCACTTTAGAATAACCTAGTTGCTCCCCGCCCCGCCCCCTGCACTGGTTAAATTGAGTGTTCCCAGATTCAAGGCTCCCTAAGTGAGCGAAGATAAGTTTAAATGGTATTAAACAGGAAAAAAAAAATCGATACATTATGAAACATCGCGTGAGGAGTATACTTTTTTTGGATAACCATAGCCAGTTTTTTCTGGAAAGAGGACTTGGAAAGGGACAGGTACTTGGAGAAGGCATACTGGCCTGGAATCTGGGATTTTATTGCCACCTCCCGCCTCCAGCTTGATCGTGCAAGGCTGACCGAGGTTGTGAGACCTCTGGCTCCCCAGACTGGAGGCTGCAGGCGCTCACCCAGACAGGCGGCTCACTCCCAGGAGGCCCCCCCGCCAAAACGGGTTCTTGGGTGTAGGAGCTGTGCTCAAGAGCAGCCGTTCTAATAAATATGGGTACAAAATGACGTCGGATCCTTAGGAAAACGCGCAGAGCCACCACTGGAAGAAGCAG